TAGAGCAGGCTGTAATTAGTTGCCTTTCATGCCATGCTTATTAAATTCAGTGAGTCTAATCTTGTGAAAATGGGGTCCTGGAATATATACTCATGTTTAAAACTGTTTCCGTGTGAGAACCATCGAACTACCCCGATTCAGTCGCCGTCTTCCTACTGATCTAAAAGAGGAATGCTCACAGACAGGCCGTAATTATGGTAGTGACAAAAGATGAAAGATCTGAACTTCGCGTTTTCAAACATCCATGAAAAGATCTAAGGAAACATTCACGGCGCTGTCACTCACATACAGAGTTCTAGCAGGAACGTGTAGCAGTAAATCACCCGACGTGCATTTTTTGTGTTCCAGCCAGTCTAACGATCAGCCAATGTGTGCTTGGGGAGGCTAGTTCTTGGTGCTAGAGTAGTCTAAGTGCGATTGTATCTGTCTATCTTATCCATTTATCTGTCTATCTTATCCATTTATCTGTCTATCTATCTATCTATCTATCTATCTATCTATCTATCTATCTATCTATCTATCTATCTATCTATCTATCTATCTATCTATCTATCTATCTATCTATCTATCTATCTATCTATCTATCTATCTATCTATCTATCTATCTATCTATCTATCTATCTATCTATCTATCTATCTATCTATCTATCTATCTATCTATCTATCTATCTATCTATCTATCTATCTATCTATCTATCTATCTATCTATCTATCTATCTATCTATCTATCTATCTATCTATCTATCTATCTATCTATCTATCTATCTATCTATCTATCTATCTATCTATCTATCTATCTATCTATCTATCTATCTATCTATCTATCTATCTATCTATCTATCTATCTATCTATCTATCTTTCAGGCTATCAGTCTGTCTGTCTTTTTAGTCATACATTCATGGATGAGGGACGGAGGCGCCCCTCTCCCAGTATTTTCTCTCGATCAGCGAGCCTGCAATAATGTTACCGAAAATAGCTGAAATGTTTATCCTTTGATTAAAATCTTTAGTCGGTTCCAGAAGGATCAGTAGACTTTTACGACATGCTTGTGGGTGGAGGGCAGTGGGTCTACCCATCCCACCCCCTATCCTACAAAAAAAATTGAATCCCCGGAACATGCATTGGAAAATATAATTGCAATATAATACCTTATAACTGTCATCATGTGTTGTCATTACATTCATAATAGGTATTTCGGTGGGATTTTAGTAACTGATTTAGCCATGGTGTAGAGAGCGGACACACAAGCAGATACCTCGGAGTACTAAAGTGAATCTTATCAGAACTATTTTTTGGCCAACACTATGCTATCAGTGCCAAACGTGGACACTTACATCCCCCAATGAACGTAAAATTGTGACAACAGAGATGAAATGCCTTAGAAGAGCTGCAGGAGTTTCAAGGAAAGACAGAATACAAAATCATGAAATCAGACGAATGCTAGGAATAAAGCCAGTCTTACAGGTCATCAAAGAACAACAAATGAAATGGTTTGGACACCTAACAAGAATGCCCTGGTACTATCTGCCACAGCGAGCCACACTAAAACGTTACAACGGGTATAAAGCGAGTGGAAGACCTCGGAAAATATGGAGTGATGGCATTAAGAACAGCCTTACAGAAATGAACATCAGTCTTAATAGTGCTCTTGACAGAGCTCATCAACGAACATTACATCTCCCCCCGACACTTCGATGAGGTACAAGGTGGAAGAGAAGAAGAAGAAGAAGAAGAAGAAGAAGAAGTAGAGAGCGGTTCTCAAACAGGCTGCCGAGGCACCCATGTATGCCAGAGGTGGTGGGGCAACTAGGGGTGCCGTGAGCGTATGTATGCCAGAGGTGCCGGGGCAACTAGGGGTGCTGCGAGCGTATGTCTACCAGAGGTGTCGGCGTAACCAGGGGTGCTGCGAGTGTATGTCTGCCAGAGGTGCCAGGGTAACCAGGGTGCCGCGAGCGTATGTATGCCAGAGGTGCCGGGGTTACCAGGGTACCGCAAGCGTATGTCTGCCAGAGGTGGCGGGGTAACCAGGGTGCCGCGAGCGTATATCTGCCAGAGGTGCCAGGGTAACCAGGGTGCCGCGAGCGTATGTATGCCAGAGGTGCCGGGGTTACCAGGGTACCGCAAGCGTATGTCTGCCAGAGGTGCCGGGGTAACCAGGGTGCCGCGAGCGTATGTATGCCAGAGGTGCCGGGGTTACCAGGGTACCGCAAGCGTATGTCTGCCAGAGGTGGCGGGGTAACCAGGGTGCCGCAAGCGTATATCTGCCAGAGGTGGCGGGGTAACCAGGGTGCCGCGAGCGTATGTATGCCAGAGGTGCGGGGCAGTAATCAAGAATTTCTCAAAATCTGTTTGAGATCAGCCAAAACATCAGTTTAAAACAGAAATACCGTGAAGAAAGCCAAGAGAAGTTCTGATGCAGGTTTATTCAGAAAAACAATTCTATTGGCAAGACTGCAGCGCATTCTCGACGTACACTTATACAGTATTTACATATATTTT